GTTCATGAGATTAGGAAAAAATATATGCTCATTATTTCTCACTTCCTGGTGTTCTTTCTTAGTCCATGCTCTTGTAAAACGACTATGACCATGGTTTCATGCTCTTTCTTAGGAATAGTGAGAGAGTTCATAATTTTAAACGCACGTGTTTTCTTTTACCTCCTTCCTCTTCCTTCTCCAGGTGTCATGGCATGCACAGCGAAGGGGATTCGCGAATTCGCCTACGTGGACCTGTGCCAGTATTCTCATGATTTGAACCTGACTGTGGAAGTGATTCTCCGAACCATTTGGCACCTGAGACTGGTCATGAGAAGGAACATCTTCATCCAAATGGATAACTGTGCCCGGGAAAATAAAAATAAGTATGTCTGTGCCCTCGCTCACCTGCTGGTCGAAACTGGGATCTTTGAGGAGGTGAGTTACATTGATTGCAAAAGTGAACTTAAAAAGACTTCCAAGATGACTGGTCGCAAACTCGATGCTTTTAGCACAGCTCATTACATTGGAAGTTTTCCTCCTAGATGCAGGTTTCTTTTTTTTTACCATGACTTTTGTGCGATAACAGGTTCATTCCTCTCCCAAGGTAATTTTCAATTTCCATCCGGTGGGCCACACTCATGAAGACATTGACCAGCTTTTCAGCTCCATCAATCAATATCTTGAGAAGCGGGACATATTCACCGTGACAGGTTAGACCACTGTTGCTCTGAAAATTTTTTCCCACAAACCAGCTAGTGCTTCACTTTGGAATGTCATATTATTTACATTTAAAATAAACCTATGACATGAGAAGAATCCCTCTCATTCCATAGATTTGATGGACTGTCTTCGAGAAATTAATCGTAGGGGCAGAAAAGAGGCTCTACTAGTTGAAGAGGTGGAGGTAGTACATGACTTTAAGAATGTGATTCAAGCCTACCTACCAAGTCATTTCAAGGGTCAGGCACGACCACTTGGATTTCGATTCAGAAAGTTCAGCGGTCAGACTCAGCTTCATGTCCGAATGCATGCAGAGGAAGATTGGTCCCCCAACGCGAAAAACTGCCAGTATCCGATAGAGTGTCTTGGATCAGCTATGGGATATCTGTCTTCAGGTAGGCTAATTATGGCAAATGACGATCCTGGTCCTACCTATGGAAAAAACTTTTCAAGCACCATCCATGTCAAGACGAATTTGGAGACAACGAATTAACCCCGTATTGGGAAAGAATTATGCATTTCAGTCTGAATGCTCCTAACCGAGAATTCTCATGAAAATACCTGCTGGCAATAGACTCAACCATAACAAAATGAGAGAGAGATTAATTTAAAAATTATAATAGGGCCCTTTAATAACGCTAATACTACCACACTGATGTGCATGTGTCTTCTTCCTTGTTCATTCCTAGTCAGAAGAGTTCCTCACCTCCGCTGTAGCTGCTGACTTTCTCATACACAATCTCCAACGATTTGTAAAAATGTACTTTATGCATTTCTACAAATGCGCTTTATTCCGTTCTAATACTCTCATGGGTTATTTTTATCTCCAATTTACAGGAAATGCCATCTCTCGATGATTTCTCAACTTTGGTGACTCCTGACTGGCCCAGGGCTCAACTTGACCATGTGAAATCGTTCATTTCTGGTTACTTTCCAAGGATGACAGAGGAGAAAATTGCTGCTTGGGACCAATTTCGCCCGGATCTTCGCTCGATGGTTAGCAATTCCTTGCAGCATTTTCAGAGCTATGGATATTATTCGTGTCATCGCTATACCTGTATTTCCTTTCATCAACATAGATTTCTTCATTTCATTTCATGAAATTGGTTCACCATAAGAAGACGGCGGCTGGCAGTACACTCTGCTGAACAGCGATAAATCACTACTTTTCCGAAATGGAAAAGCAGCTCCTTGGACCACTACTACAAGTGAGATCAAGGGAAATTTCAGGTGTAGGCTGAAAATGTAAGGTGCAAATAGTGAAATTGACGTGAATTGTTGTGTCTCGAAACTTTCCTTTATCTCACTCGTTCGCAGCCAGTCATTGGTCCAGTTGGGAAGCTCAGACAAGGTGTGTTCTATGGGACTCAGGATGT